CAAAGGGATGCACTACAAGCCTGCACCCTGGTCATCAGCACACAGCCCATCTTCCTCTCTGTGTCCAAAGTCCCCAGCTGCTCCGTCTTCTATGCCACCACCTCCATCTCAGGCATCACTGCTAGTCTGGGTAACATTCCGCTCTCCACTCTTCTCCCTTGGTGGTCCCAGGGACCTCTGCTCCTAGACAGAAAAGTTAATCACTCCCCTCCTTGCTAAAAAACATCTATCTTTACATTTCTAACCCTCACAAGCAGTCCTGATAACAATCATTCACTATTGTATTATAAGAGACCCATCCTCATTTTATTTCATCAGTCCCTGCCTAGACAGATTGGATACGACTCAGTGGAGAGTCTACCTTCCTTCACACCCTTTGAATCTAGGTTCCCTTTTGAAAGCTTGTAAGCCAGTCACTTCTTGCCTTTGTAGTTCCCCCCATTTTTGGTAGTCAATGTCCAAGTTGTCCATCCCTGTCTACTCTGTGTATGGAGGGGATGGGAATAATCCTTGCTGTAAAGATTTGTTCCCTCTTTTGAGCTACTGCATCCATAGGTGTGGGTCAAGTTCATCAAATTGTATCAGATTACTCTTATTTTCCTCTTCTTTCTTCTTCTGGTTGAGCTCTGATCATCCAGTCATTGAAGCCAGGACAAGTGGGTATTATCTGCAAATGTGAGTATTCTTGTGCATATGCCCTCTCTTCTTATCAGCTGGACGCTTCACTCTCCACTCTAGTCCTCTGTGGCTATGTCACTGACTCTGGGCCCAAGAGTCCCCAGGTTTTGCCACATTGCTGGCCAACCAGGTCTCCACCTGGGTTCACAGAAGTCTATTGAACATTGTAGGGCTTAGCTTGCAGCTTCATTGCTGTTTTTCCCTCACTTCCCCTTATCGGTGATGAGTGTGGTCACCAATCAGAGCGTGTTTTTCCATTGATTCTTAGTTTTGGAAGGGGGTTTACACTGAGGAGACCTGACCATTTGCCTTGATGTCTCCAGGGCAAGGTCAATTGATTTTTAAAGATGTCTTTAAAGAACAGACAACATAATGTTCTATCAAGGCCTGGATGTTTCTTTAGGCAATGAACGCTTTGTCCCTGGAGGGGTATGAAAAAAGAAACCAGATGGTCCTTTGTCCTAAATACCATGGGTCTGGAAGACCTCCAAGTTCTCTGCCCTAAGAGATCCCTAAGACTTCTGAGAACCAAGCAGCTGTGAGTTGCTGTCCGAGGTGCTGAATGTAAGTCGCTCTCCAAGCCCTGCAGTTCTCCCAACCTGGGACTCCGGGACCACAATTCTTGACATCTGTCTTTTTGCTTTGTTTTCTATTTGAATGTTTTTCAATTTGTGTGTGCTAGCAACCTTCTAAGGTTTATTACTCATTATAAGGAAACCAAGCATATACAAAAATAGAGACAATATCTTCATGATATTTGCATCCAATATTCTGTGCCATTGTTTTCAACACTTACTTCATCAATTCTCACCACTCTTCCCCACTCAGGTGACATGGAAGTAAACAATCCCAGGTTTGCAGGGGCTACCTCACTGACATCAGATGGCCTCAGCACTATTTTTATTGGCAACTACCAGCCAATGGGCACATATCTCTTGCTACAGATGATGTTGAACAAGTCTGAGGCACAGGATGATGCCTGGAGCACATGCTTGGAGGTTTCTAGCTTTATCATTTACCAATTAGTGTAATTTCTCTAAGCCTCACTTTCCTCACCAATAAAATGCGTAGAACAGTACGTGCTTCCCATGGTTTCTATGAGAATTCAACACATGCAAGTGTGTTTTTAGCTTTGTCAAGTCAGAGGTTCAACCAAAGTGTATGGTTGGTGCACCTGCTAAACATGTCAGATGGGCCAAATTTGATTGAGGCTGGTTTTACAAGCCCAATCTATTTTCTTCTCTCTCTCCTTTCTTTCGTTAGTGGGAAAGTTCCCAATTGTTTACCCTAATGAGGAAATAAATATACATTGTTTCCCTTCAAGTACATGAAAAACAGATATTTCCTATCTTCCTATCCTTCCTTTGCTATTTAACTGACTTCCCAGGTAAGCATGTGTCTACACTCTACTAAGTGAATTATTCCTCCTCCCCCCCACCGACCCTTGGTAACCATCATAGAATGAAAACCTTTTCTTGACTTTTTACAGTGCTGTTGATGTTGTTATATGAAGAAGAACATACAATCATTATTGGAGGAAGACTCATTAACAACCTGAGATAAACAGATGATACAACCTTGCTTGCTGAAAGTGAAGGGGACTTAAAATACTTACTGATGAAGATCAAAGATCACAGCCTTCAGTATGGGCTACACCTCATTGTAAAGGAAACAAACATTCTAACCACTGGACCAATAAATTACATTATGATAAATGGGAAAGAGATTGAAGTTGTTGACAACTTCAGTTTGTTTGGATCCACTATAAACACTCATGGAAGCAGCAGTAAATAAATTGAATGATGTATTGCATTAGGCAAATCTGCTGCACAGGACCTGTTTAAAGTGTTCAAGAACAAAGATGTCAGTTTGAGAACTAAGGTGTGCCTGACCCAAGCCATGGTATTTTTAATATCTTCATGTGCATGTGAAAGGTGGACAGTTGATTAAGAAGGTACTTCTTATGCAAACTATAATTTGAGAACCAAATGTTAAATAGATCTTTGTATAATCCCATGTGCAATCAGTCACCTCAACAAACATGTTAAATACTTACTATCTACTGTGAATATGGAATTCCAGAAAAATGAACCCATTCTATCTTGGAGGAAGTACAAACAAAATGTTCCTTAAAATCAAAGATGGTGAGATTGCATTACATGCACTTTGGACATGTTATCAGAAGGTACCCATCCCTGGAGAAGTATGTTGTTGTTGTTAAGTGCCGTCGAGTCGCTTCCGACCCATAGCGACCCTCCCTGTACAGCATTTCTGAGGGTGTAAATCCTTATGGGAGTAAAAAGCCTCATCTTTCTCCCATAGAGTGGCTGATAGTTTCGAACCGCTGACCTTAAGGTTCGCAGCCCGATTCGTAACCACTACACTACCAGAGCTCCTTGGAGAAGGATGTAAGACTTGGTAAATTACACTGTCATGGTGGCACTAAAAGACATCCTTGTGCAATAGCTATGGAGTCCAACTATATGTGTGCCCAGATGGGCTTGTACTGTGATGAATTACCTCTGAATCTCACAAGAGAGATATGAGTCTCAACATTTCCACTAAGTACTCTAATGTGCAGACAGGGTTGGACTTGTCTGACCTGAGTTTAATGATAACTTTACTATTGTAAGACTTAAGGCAAGGTATTTCTCTTCTCTGAGTCTGATTTCTTGGTTTAATTTACCATGTTCAATACCCATCCTATAGTCCTCCCGCCTGGAATGACTTTTCTCCCAACTCAAATCCTAGGTGTCCATGGAGAAATGGATGGATGGATGGATGGATGGATAGATGGAGGGATGGAGGGATGGAGGGATGGAGGGATGGAGGGATGGAGGGATGGAGGGATGGGTGGATGACTCAGTGTGATTTTCGTTCACAGATTTATTCCTTTGCTGGACTCTCCTCAGTGGCTGTGCATAGAGACTCTGCTCCAAGGCTGGGAGGGGTGATGACTCCCAGGAGTTGTTGTTAGGTGCCATCGAATTGGCATTGACTCATAGCGACCTTATGCACAGCAGAACAAAACAATGTCAGAATCTGGGCCAACCTCACTACTGTTTCCACACTTGAGTCCATCGATGCTGCCACCTGGCCAATCCATCTACTTGGGGGATTTCGTTTTATTCTCTGACCCTCCACCTTACCAAACATGACATCCTTCTCCAGCGACTGCTCTCTCCTGATAATATGTCCAAAATATGAGAGAAAAAGTTTGGCCATCTTGGCTTCTAAGGAGCATTCTTGCTGCACTTCTGCCAAAACTAATCTTTTGGTTCTGTTTTGCAACCAGAGAGGCCCAAGGAAGTCCAGGGCCCCTAGAACCCTCTCTGTAAGAAGGGGGTTACCAATGCTTGTGTGGAGACAGGCAGCATCTTACTTCCTCTGGCTTCAGAAGTCAAAGGAGAAGAATCAGCATCAGCATCAGCTCAAGGTTGATTCCTATGGGACTGAGGTCAGACACCACTCCTCCCTCCAACCTTCTCTACCGATTCTGACTCCCAGCATCTGCCCACAGCACTCTCTACTTGTCAACTCAGTTCAATAATTCAGTGCAATGGCTTCACAGAACTCAGACAAGACTCAGGGTCATGCAGTTTATTAGGGAAGGTAACAGACTGTGATTCAGGATTAGAAAAGCTCAGAATACAGGTCTTTGGTCAGGACAGCCTCTTCTCTGTCTTGCCCATAGGCAGGCCTCTCTCTTTCCTTCAGCCCCTTGACCTGGCCTCTGTCTGCTCAGGCAGTGTTACAAAGCTCCTTTAGATCTGCTGATAAATGCACAAAGGGCCCATGACTCTACCATAAATTTCACCCTGAAGGTACTTGACTCTAGTGTCATGGGTCAGCACAGTTAACTCCCCCTGTTAAGTGCCTGGGACAGTGTGGAAGTCCATTCTACAAGCAAACCTACAGCCTAAAGGAACTCCGCTTTATTTGCTACATGAGCCAGGAAACACAGCACTCCATGTTTCATTCTCTGACTCTTGGCTCTTCTGTAACTCCTCTGCCATGCCCTCCCTCTCCTCTGATGTCACAGCTGTGTCTCCTGGGGGTTGAGGAGGTTCAATTTACAGGGATCCACTCTTGGATCTTATTCCTTGATGGTAGAGACATTCCCCTTCTTGCTTTGCAGATGACTCATTTAAAACTTGGAAGATGACAAAATTGACCACTCCCCTCATTACATTTCCAAGATTTTAGAATCACAATTAGCTTTGTTAACAATCACATAACTGAATCATATCATCCTGTTAGTATCTTCTCCCACCTTCTCTTTTCAAGACCCTTCAGGGACAAAACTGATTGATGGGAGCTACCAGTGGATATGGACACAGGATGAGGGTCTGGAAGCAAGTCAGAGGGGAAGGCTGGCTCAGCATGCTGTCGTCAGACCTGCTGGGTGGGTCTGGGCTAAGGGGCCCAGTTTGTTGGAAGAGTTACCCCAGCCTGGAGGGGTCTGCTTCTGGGGACATGCTGCATACAGAGCTGTGGAGAAGAGGTTACTGATTGGTGCCTGTTCTCAGCATGTGTCGCTGAGAGAAGTGAGGCAGACTGTGGCCAGGGTACACAGAGAACCTGGCTGGCAGCTCACCTAGCCCAGCTCTGATGAAGGATGAAGTTCGGGCCAGTGTACAAAATAGAAAACACATGTGCTGGGCTGCACAGATGGATGGACAGAGGGACATGGTCGGAGTGGACAGGCAATGTGTGCTACCTGGCTCTAGGTGTATAGGTCTACCACTATCCCACCTGTCCACTCACCTGACAGGCCCGAGGAGCTGTGTCTTTGTCCTGGAGTACAGCCCCTGGGCCAAGCTCCTCAGCTGTCCCTGCATCCAGTGCAGATCTGCTGGTGCATCCGGAAGCCACTCCACCACCCTGGAGGACAGGGCAAGTCAGCTCCTCCCCACAGTCCCAGCGAGACCCTTCCCCAGGGGCATGGGCAGAGCCAGAGGGGCTGCAGCTCAGAGGAAGTGGTGAGTGTGGGCTTATCCATGCCAGTCTAAGCCACAAAGGCCTCTTGTAATGTAAGAGGAAGCTGAAGCTCAGAGTGGTCGAGAATCCTTGCCCAGGCCACACAGCAGCCTGAGCGGCATCAGCCCTGGAACATATCCTCAGAGTAAAGGCATGGTCTCTGATGCTCTGGGGCTGGAACTATAGGCTATTTGTCACACAGACTGTGAGGACCAGCCAGGTTGATCACCAGGAACCTTAGCTGCCCTGCTCCCATTCAGCCCTTTCTGCAGAGAAGACCAGCAAGGCTCCGAACCAGGGCCAACACAAGGCCTGGCAAGAGTACAGGCAGGCTCCACCCTCCTGGCTCTGCCCACCAGTGTGCCAGCTGCCCCTTGAGTCCTGGTATCTCTCTGTGGAGGCCTCACCTCCTGGATTGGAAGTAGACGAATTCGACAGGCAATGTGTAAGGCAACAGCAGATACGTCAACACCTGCCCAGAGCCCGACCCCCAAAAGCGAGTCCAGAGGCTGGGCTTCTTCATGCATGCGTTCCTCAGGACTGCAAGAGAAGTCATGACATGGCCCAGTCCACTTGGAAGTCCACTCTGCTCAGCGTCACTATGTGGACCAGTTAACTGTGCTCCTCCCAACCTCATCCCCCACCTCCAAGTCTGCAGAGGAGGAAACAAAACTGACAAAGGCCGGCCCTACTATGAGACAGCAGAGTACTTGTTCCTAATCATGGCCCTCTGACCATTGCCCATGAGACACACAATGTGCCCCTTCCACAGATGAGGAGACTGAGGTTCAGAGTGAAGTGACTTGCCCAAGGGTCACCCCCAGGAAGTGGCAGGGCCAGCACAGGCTCACAGCTGGCAGGATGCAGAGCTCTTGCCATCTCTCCTGGCCCTGGGAAGTCGGCTGGGCCTCCAGGATGGGACAGGTACCCCATCTTGCCCACTTCAACAACAACAACAACAGTTATTGTTAACAGCAGCACAGCTGTAACCACAGTGACCATTTCCTGAGTCAGAGAGGAAGGACCTGCCCTGTGAGCCCATGGAGCACTGGAGTGGGACAGGACCTAAGTCCATATTCCAGCCTCCAACCACAACTGACACCCCTGCCTCATCCCCGTCTGGTGCCACCTGCAGACAGTATTTTCAAGGGTCACAGTGAACACAGTCCCCTTGCGGTGGGCTCCAGTTCCAGTCACCTCACCTTTCCCTGACCCAGATACCTGCTCTGTACAGTGGGGATACCAGCAGGACCTGCCTTCTGGCGGATGTAAGGATGCTATGAGTCTATAAGGATGAGGTCCAAGTGCAAACCTTTCCCAAAGAGAGGTGAGGCTGACCCTAGACCTAACTCTAATCCTAACCCTAACCCTAACACTTCCCAGAGAGAGGTGAGGCTGACCATAGACCTAATTCTAACCCAACCCTATCCGTGACCATAACCCTAACACCTTCCCAGAGAGAGGTGAGGCTGACCATAGACCTAATTCTAACCCAACCCTATCCGTGACCATAACCCTAACACCTTCCCAGAGAGAGGTGAGGTTGACCATAGACCTAACCCTAATCCCAACCCTCAAAATGACCCTAGTCCCTAACTACATTTAACTAACTAACTCTAGCCCCTAGTTTCACTTTAATAATAATCCTGGCTATTCCCCTACCCCTAGACCTAACTAACCCTAAACCTAACCCGAACACTAGCCCTCAAATCTAAAACTAACACTTAACCTAAATCTAAGTGAAACCTAACACTAACCCTTAACTGAATGCCATTCACCTGAATGCCAACTCTAAACCAAACCCAACCTAAACTTATATCAAACCCTAACCCCTAACACTACACCCTAAACTCTAATTCCAAACCTAGCAGAAACCCTACACTTAAACCTAAATCGGATTCTAGCTCAATCTACTCTCTGCCCCTCACCATCTCCTCCCACCTCAGCCCCGTGAACTAGACCAGAGCTCAGAGCAAAGGTCATTTCCGAAAAAGGGGTCACCCATCACACCTCCGGGAATGCCCACCTCTCTTCTCAGGTAGCTTCCAGAAACCCTGTCCAGGAGCCCTGGTGGGGCTGTGGTATAAGCACTGGATTGATAACCACAATACTCATGGTTCAAACCCACAAGCTACTCTGGAGGAAGACAAGGCTGGCTGTTCCTGTCAAGACTGATACCCACAGAAAACCTAAGGAGCTGTTTGACTTGGATCTATAGGATTGCTACAGGAGTCCTAGTATGGCGCTGTAGAATCAGACTGTATTGTGAAACTCAAGGTAAGCAGTTCAAACCTACCAGTAGCTCCTTGGAAAGCCTATAAGAGTCACTATGCATCGGAACCAACTTGATGGCACTAAACAACAACAACAGGGTTATTATAGGGCTTTGTACTCATCCAGACCTCAAACTTCTTGGGGGCAGGGTTCCATTCCCCCACCCATGAGTAAGGGCAGTGGGTAGGTAGGTGAGCAAGGCAGGTAGGTAGGGGCAGTACCAGCCTCCAGTTCTGGTGAGATCTGCTCAAAGTTGGGCACACCCTTGACCAACTTGTTGGGCACCGCCCAGTTGAGAGTCAGGCCCGCATTCCCTTCCTGGTTGCAGCCAGAGTCCTGAGCTCCTTCAGCAGGGGATGGAGGTGCCTTAGATGCCAAACTACACAGTATCGGCTCCTTAGTGAGTCCTGGGTCAGGAAGAGGAGAGGAAGGAAGTGAGGTGACAGGTCCCACGCCAACCTCATGACCTGTGCCATCTGCCCCCATGCTCTGGTGACTTTATTGTCTCAGGATGGACTCACGGCTCATCCTAAAGGAGCCCTCCTCTGCTCCCCCTGCTAGTTTCCTGGTGAATTTCACATAGATAATCAAAGCCAAGGGCCTGAGGACACAGGCCAGGGTTCAAACCCTGACTCTACTCCCTGCAAGTCTCAGTTTCCCTCTCTGTTAATGGGGAAATGTGAGACCTGTTTTATGCAGTTGTTCTGGGGATGATGTGAGATCTCTAGGTAAAGCTCTAGCCAGGGCTGAGCGCTGTGGCTGCTGGGGGATGACACCTACGGGTTGGGGACATAAGGACAGGTGCTGGGTTCAAATCATAGCTCTGCCACTCTGAAAAGCATTGCCCTATTGGGTGACAACCAAGATCTCCTGCCAGGACTCCCTGGTGACCCTGTCATCCTGTGAACGGTCTTTCACACATGCATACATACAACACACACCATGTATACCCCACATATATGCAGAATACACACAGAACACATACATACACATACCACATATATACACGTACCACATAGCACACACATACACCTGCCCCATAGTACATACAAACACACCTCATAGCACATATATACACATGCCACATAGTATAGACACACACGTATCAAATAGCACTCACATGCATGTGCCACACAGTACACACATACACGTGACACATAGCAAATACATGCACATGCCACACAGCACACATATACTCATGCCACACAGCACATACATACACATGCTACACACAGAAACACTGCTCAGTACATCCACACAGCACACTCACATGCCCTCCACACCACTTTCACACAAACCACACATCCCATACACACACAAACCTCATATATACCACAAACCTCATACACACACCACCCATATACCAAACCACATAGACAGAAACACACCATAAGTAGACATCAAATACCCACAGATCCTACACACATACCACACACACACTACACACACAAACCACATACAAACACTCCACATACACAACATGCACACATCACAAAATTCCATATATAATCACACCACACACAGCCCCTATACATTAAGTACACACAGCACACACACACACACACACACCATGTGCACACTCATTATACATCTTTCTATGCTCATGCCAAATGCACACATAGACACACCTAGGCACTCATACATATACACACTAACACATGCACACATGTACACAAATCACCACACTGACACATAATACACAAACAGAAAACACACATGTACAGATTCTCACCCCAAAATACACATATGCATGTGCACACATAACACACATAAACAAAAAGACACACAAATACATATGCATTCACATATAGACACAGCACACCTGCAAATATGACATGTATGTATATATACACACAAATGCACATAACACACACACGTATGCACGTACACACATACACACACAAGTACAATGATACATGGTGCATATGCCCACATACACACATGTGCACATAGTTACACACACAGTCACACATACACTCTCACACATACATCCAGGCACACATACACCTCTCCTGACACTGAATTGATGTCCCTCAGGGCACCCACTGCCAAACCTTGTGTTTCCTCTCTTCCTTTTTGGGGGAAAGGTCCTCTGCCATCCCCGTCCCCATCAGTGCAGCCTTCACAGCCTGCCTTGCAGCTCATTGGTCACCACCTCCACCTTCCTGTCCCCCAGCTGCTCAGCTGTCTCCTTGGGCCCCCACAGCCCTGGGCATCTCTCCTTGACTGCACCCTCTCCCTGGGTGGTCTTGCTCAGGGTCTCTCCCCCTGGGTGTTCACCCCTCTCTGGGTACCAATTTTCAGCTAATACAGAGCACAGAGCAGATGATGGGCAAGTCATGAGGAGCTCAGCTCCCAGCAGCTCAAACGTCCCCTGAAGTAGCGTTTCCTGGTTCCCACATGTGTGTGGTCCCCACGAGGGCTCCGTCAGCTACCGTGGGTCATGCTACCTACCCTGCTTCTCCAGGTATCTCACGGTGTCCAGGTAGCCTTGTCTGCAGACGTCAGCCACTGTCTAAGAACACACAGGTCGGGGGAGAGATGGAGAGGTGTGTGTCTGTCTCTCCATCTAACTTCAACTAGGAGCCATCCCAGCCCAGCCTACACTACCCAACTGACCTCTCAGTAGGACTTGGTGATCTTAGTGTCCTCCCTATGGCACCGGAGATGACAAAAATCCCTTCTCTGGAGCATGACTCAAGGGACACAATCAAGGTGAAGGCCTGGCTGAAAACTAGTTTAACAAAGTTGGTGTGAGACCCCTCCCTTAATGTGGATGCCATTCCTAGCTCAACACTTGCCCAGAGCAAAGGAATAGGAAGGACATAGCTCGAGCCCAGACTTGACCAACTGGTACCCATATTAAAGCACACACGATCTGACTCATGTCTGAACCTCTACACATCTACCAGGCTGGGGCTGAGACCAGACCTACCTCCACACTCGGGGGCATGAGGCCCAGGTATGCCATGAATAATTTCCTGTTACACCGTTTGATGATGGGTTTTAAGATGTCCATATCGTGCATGTGGACCATGTAGATCTGGGGACAGATGTCAGGCTTCCCAGGGTATGGGGACACGGTGATGGTGGACTTTTCATTCCTGAAGAGTAGATTGTTGCTCAGAGCACCATCAATGTAGCGCTGTAATGTGAAGAATGGGCTCAGGTGTACTGTGCTGCTCTCTGGGGTCACCTGCCCTCTCCCGGCACCCCCCAAGACACCAGCAGAGAGTGGGCTATGGTTGGTTGTTCCAAAGTCCTTGGGTCCATCTGGCACATGATGCTGAGCCCCCATCGGAGAGGAGGGAGGGTCTGGCTCACAATAGGTGCCCTCAGAGCCCAGGACACCTTGATGAATTTAGTAAGGAAACCTCCTAAGTACACTTACCTCACCTCTGAATTCAGGGGGAATCACTCCACAGTAGACTGGGAGGAATACAGCACAGACCGTGGCCTGGGAAGATAAACATCAAAAGGAATACAATCGATCTCTCCCTTTCACTCAGAAATGACTTGTGGCATGGTGACTCCTCCCCCATAGAGCTGCCATTGTTGGCATTCCTCCTCCAGTGTAACTGAGCCCCAAGAAGGCAGGAGGTCCCTGTTAGGTTCTCAATACCATAATGCATATTCAATAAAGGATTGGCTCAGGATGGGGCTGGGCATCCCACTGGAAGCTGCTGCCCCTACAAGAGGTCCTGTAAAACACAGCCTGGTCTTGAACCCAAGGGACCTCCCTGCAGCAAGCAGAGGTCCTTGTACTCATTGAGTGTCTTGGACATATTGTTACCCTAGTCTGTGCCTCAGCTTCCTCAGTTGGAGACAAAAAGAAGCTCCTCAGTCTACTCCCTCACCCATGGGTGTCTCTGACCCAGAAAGCCCAAGCCCCAGCAACCACCCTACCTGGATAAGCTCATCTCTTGTGGCGAAGTTGGTAACTATGACATTCTTTAGGTCTGGCCAGCGGGTCAGTGAGATTCCCAGTCGCTGAGAAGCCAGGATGTGGGCGTTTTCAGGCAGAATCTCCTGCAGTGAGTTTTTTATATGCTCCATGGGTGTGAAGGATGGGTGGAAGATGCCCAGGCTTAGCCTTTTGACCAGACTGGTCATTCCCAGGATTTGTGAGCAGCAATAGTCTGTAGGAGAGGCAGAGGGCTCCTTAAGCACCCAGAAGATGGCCCACACCTTCCTGACAGCTCAGTCTACTCTCCTATGTGCCATGGAGCCAAAGGCCTGGGTGACTCTCCAGCTTAGAATGTTAGTACCTAACCACCTTTCCCCCAGGGGACCTTGTAAACAGTCCTCCCTGGGACTCCTGTGGTGTAAGGAGTGGCGTTAGACCAGATCTGAGTTTCTCTTCAGTATTAAATGAGAAGATTCTGGGCCCAAGGATCAGGCGGAACCCCTGAACACACCTCCTGTCTTACACCAGCCCCCACTGATCCCAAACCCCTCAACTAGGTTTGGGAACTGATCCTAGGTTCCTCTTCGTCTACTAACTCACCAATAGGCATTCCACAGACCAGGCTGACTGCAAAAAGTGCCCCGGAAGAGGCGCCATAGAAGCGCTGGGCACCCAGGAGGAGGCTTGGGGCTCGCTCCAGCAGACAGTGGGTCACACCCACATAGTAGAGACTCAGGAAGCCTGCTCCAGAGAAGGAAAAGTTCCAGCTGCCCTCCCTCTTGAAGTCCATGGTCAGAATGGCTGTGAGGTGTGGGTAGGGAAAAGGGGGCCTGGGAGAAGATCTGGAGGGGGTTAGTCAGATTTGGAGCTGTAATGGGACCAGAATGGGGAGCCAGACAGAGAAGAACCAGGAGTCAGGTGTGGGGTCAGAACCGGGAGGCAGACAGACAGGACCAAGACTGAGCTGTGACCTGACTCGGTAATCTGAGCACTTCTGTTACCTTCTGTCCCTCCCCTGGGCTGTGTTACCCGCAGTGCCAGCCAATGAGGTCTCCGATCCATAGCTTCCCATCCTCAGGCTTGTTGCAAACGTGTCTTCACCATCCTGTCCTCCACTGTGTGGGCATTGACCCAGTCTGCCTCAGATCTGGATGGAGGCTTCATTTCTTGATGGCTTAGCTGGGTCTCCAGTGTTCTTGGCAGAAGTATGAACCTCGCCCCCATGGTACAGATGTGGAAACAGGCACAGCCAGGAAGCTGAAGGCTTGAACCACTGAGCTTGGTCTTGGGAGTCATCTCAGACTTCATTCTGCAGCTATGCTGGGTGGGGCCTGTGGAGGAAAGGGAGACAGGCATCCATAATCCACACTCAGCACATGTGTGATGCTCCCCAAATCCTCAGCCTCTCTCCTCTGTGGGATTTCAGCACCATGTGAAAGGCTGCTGTGAGAACCTCCAGAGCCCCTCCCTCTCTGATGGCTGCATCCCAGACACCGAACCCCTATCACCAGTCCAGTCAAGATCTGGATGACCCCTGGACCATAGACCACTGCCCAGCTGAGTGCTGTCTTCTCAGGTCTCCCCAGCAAGCTGTGTAACTGGGCGTGGTGCTACCACCTTCAGACACCCACCCTAGATCCTGGAGAAGCTAAGTCACTGGCACGACCAGGAAATGCCCACCACCCTAAAAATGGGGAAGGTTCTGGAGACCAAGTGTCCCTGAGACATTTTTCCATGTATGTACAGGGTGAGGCAGAGCAGGAGGGTGCCCTAGCTTTGTATGTATCAATGGAAGTGCTTGCTGGGGGACAGATGAATGGAACCCTACTGGCAAACACGTTTAAAAATGATGCTTATTTAAGGATGCCATTTACACCAACATTGAATTCACTGCCAAAGCCTCACTCTGTGTGTGTGAGCACGCGCTCTGAAACCTGTGAAAGTCAGAACTTGACAGGACCGAATGTGTTTTCTGGGTCTCACAGGTTGCTTTTTTCCTTGACAGGGTATATTCTTATTACTTTTCTGTCACTCTCTATTAATGGGAAATATTTATGTGCTTTTTCTCTGACAGGTCTCCATTTTACATGGGTTCTGGCATTTGCAGGTTTATTGTATATAAAGGGATTTCAAAAAGGTTGTGAAAAATTGCATTAAAGTATAATGGAATGAGGCCATGCATGCGCACAGATACTCAGCCCAAGCGGAGACCCTGAACTTTTATTATCTGTTTCCTTTTTGTTCTGTTTCTTTTCTATCACGGGAAAGAGTAGGAGAGGGCTGAAGGGAAAGAAAGAGAATTTAAAGGCAAAACAGTCCAAAGGTTGGATTGGAGCCTGAGGTATAGCATAACAACCAACACTGGCAACTTGGAATCTCTCAGACAGCTTTGAAGGCAGAAACTTAGGACATTAAAGCCATACTAATATTAAGCTACAAATTTTTTTTCCTTCTTTTTCTTCTCTCCTTCCTCTCCATTTTCTGTGATTAGAGGCTGCAGTATTCAGTCTTATTTTTGTTCTTGCTGCTTTTTTTTCCTTTCTCTCATACCCCCCCACCCCCCACTGGTGTCGTTTTGCTGTTATATGCCCCCCACACCTTCTGCCTTTGGAGGACTCCTTGTCTCCCTATATTACACAAGAAAAGGCAGCAACTGCTGCCATATAGCCAAGCTACAATCACACTCTATAAAACACCAAAACCCAGGCAAGAACCAATACCAACTGCCATATACCAGGGAAACAGACAACACCTGTGAAAGTTACTCTGAGT